GGCCCTGGATCTATGGCCCATGCCGAATGGGTAGTACAACTGCAAGTAACTCCTAGGTCAACATGCTAACTGGAGCCTTAGGCAGAAACAAGATGGGAAGAGGTACCTTTCGGATTTTGGAGGCAGAAACTGCCAGAGGCTGGCAAAGCTTAAAGCCCATTTGAAAAGCTCGCTATTGAATTTTGTGGAAATGTAATACCTCTGCTTCAACCATAATGTTTTGTTTGTTTGTGTTGTTTCGTTGAGATGGAATTTGACTTTTGTTGCCCAGGCTGGAGTGTAATGGTGCAATCCAGGCTCACTGCAACCTCCACCTCCCAGGCTCAAGCAGTTCTCTTCTCTCAGCCTCCCTAGTAGCTGAGATTACAGGAATGTGCCACCACGCCTGGCTATTTTATATTTTTAGTAGAGATGATGTTTCTCCATGTTGCTCACGCTGGTCTCGAACCCCTGACGTCAGGTGATCTGCCCACCTTGGCCTCCCAAACTGCTGGGATTACAGGAGTGAGCCACCTCGCCCGACCCAACCATAAAGTTTTTATGTGGAACGAAGTCTCTCTCTTTTCTTTTCTTTTTTCGTTTTTTGTGGAGACAGCGTCTCACTTTGTCGCCAGGCTGAAGAGCAGGGGTGCAGTCTTGGCTCGCTGCAACCTGTCTCACGGGTTCAAGCAATTCCCCTGCCTGAGTCTCCTGAGTAGCTGGGACTATAGGCACTCACCTTCACGTCCAGCTGGTTTTTTGTATTTTAGTAGATATGGAGTTTCACCATGTTGGCCAGGATGGTCTTGATCTTTTGACCTCATGATCCACCTGCCTCAGCCTCCCAAAGTGCTGGGATTTACAGGTGTCAGCCACCAGAAGTGGCTAAGGCCTAAAATTTCTCTTATGACTTGGGTCATGAGTTCCCACAAAATTCACAAGATAAGGCCCACCCAATAAAGTTTCATCACAAAATGGAAATGGTACATACAAGACCAGGCTAAGCCAAAACTAAAGGGGGTATCATTTTTACATGAGGATGTAAAAAATGTGCCAGCTCAGGAAACCACAGAACAAGTCTTGCTGATACGGAAAGGAACCTCCCCTCCCCAATGGAGTGAATATTTTAAAGAACTAAGCACAGAGGATCAGAAACATGCTTGGTTTACTGATGAATCCAACAAATACATTGGTGGGACCCAATGCTTGAAGGATGTGGCTTATAGTTTTGTTAAAAACAAGCATTTCTGTTGAAGGAAGGGGTGGGAACAGCCACTTAGCTGAACTAGTAGTGGTCCTCTGAGCTATTCAGGAGGAGCCCAGAGGGACTTGTCACTTGTATACCAACTCTTGGTCAGTAGCAAATGGTTTTACCTGGATGCCTCAGTGGTAATGAAACATGTTTAATTGGGAATAAAGAGGTTCGGGGAAAACGATACTGGGAATATATCTGAATTCTGGTGCACACTACCATTGTCGTGGTTTTCAATGTTGATGTTCATGTGTCTCAGCTTTCTCTTGAAAGATTATTTAATCAGCAGGAAGATCAACTGGCCAAATTTTCCACATTAACTGCAAACCTGAATGCAGATGAATGGCCCTAAATGATTTCTTTCTATCTCCTATAGCAGTTTGGAATTACTTGAAATTTGTATCAAATTGAAAAAATAAAAAGAATGTGAATAAAAATAAAATATGAAAAGGTTAAAAATTACGAAAGATTACGAAATACATATGTAAATTTTGAGACGTGAAAAACAAGTTTATTTACAAAGTTTTATTAAAATTAGCTTTAATATTGATAATACACTATTACGAAAGTAAAAGTTGATTTTCTCTTGAACAAAAATTTTTTTACTGTCACAGTAAAATACGTCTGTTCACCTATTGAATACATGCAAAAACAGAGAGTAAATAAGAGAATTTTCCATGTCCTGGGGAGGGCCTGGCTCAGCTCAGGGAGGAAGCCTCCCATGAAGAGGCTGCAGCTTAAGCTGTTACTCTTTCTTCACTCAGCCCAGCATCTGATCACATTTTCTGCCACTCAGGGCTTGACAGAGGCGGGATCTTAAACATTATCCAATCAGGGACGTTGGGCTGGAAACCGTCCAATCAGGCCCGTAGCTGGAGCCAAGAGGACGGCTTCCGGGTTTGGCGCGTCTTCTGTCTCTTGCGGCAGCCGGAGATGCAGGTGTTGTCTTTGCTCTGTGTCTCCTGCTCCTGGAGATCCAGCCACTGTGACCTGCAGGTATTGGGAGATCCACAGCTAAGACGCGATACTCCATGAAAGCCTAGAAATGGTGTGAGTGCCCGGTTCGACATCCCGAGAGAGAAGAGGGAAGGGTTGGAAGCGGAGGAAACTGGGAAGTGGCTGTGGTGGGACTCGGGCGTCCTCGCCCTCGGCTGCACAATCTGCTCCCCGAGTTCACCTTGCGCGGCTCGGCCTCAGTCCCCTTCAACCATAAGATGGCGGCTGCGCTGACAGCCGGGCCCCCGGAGTCCTGTCTCTTCCCTGCGCAGTGACTGAGCCCTGGTTTGGAGCTGTCTCTGGGCAGCTCTGCATCCGCAGCTCCGAGTCTCAGTTGTGCAGGGACCGTGGGAGGGTCGTCAGGGGAGAATCTTCACTCGGGGTGCGGGTTCATGAGTGGGAAGAGCTTTGGACCTTGGGGTTCACAGTTTCTCTTTTCTCCTATTAATTTATCTGGCCAGGTTCGGTGGCTCACGCCTCTAATCCCAGCATTTTGGGAGGCTGAGGTGGGTCGATTATTTGAGGTCAGGACTTGTTAGGTCAACTAAGTTTTTCTTCAAGGACTCAACTTCCTGGTCATAAGTTGTAAAAGTTGTAAATCAACCCTACCCCTTCTTACCCCTTCTTCTCTCGGAAAATTGCTCATTTACCCTGTTTAGAAAAACTTTGGGTCTGAGTCAACCAGGAGAAGTTTAGATTGTGCGATCTGAAGGACAGAAACAAGTAGTTTGTTAGGGTTAAAAACCACTTCCTGGGCTGGGCTCTATGGTTGTAGCCTGTAATCCCAGTACTTTGGGAGGCGGAGGCGGGGGAATCTCGAGGTAAGGAGATGGAGATCATCATGGCCAACATGGTGAAACCCCGTCTCTCCTAAAAATACACACACACACACACGCACGCACGCACACGCGCACGCGCACACACACACACACACACACACGATTAGCTGGATGTCGTGTTGTGTGGCTGTAATCCCAGCTACTTGGGATCTCTTGAACCCAGGAGGCAGAGGTTGCCGTGAGCCGAGATAGGGCCACTGCATTCCAGCCTTGCAAAAGAACAAGACAAAAAAACAAACAAACAAACAAACAAAAAACAAAAAAATCCCTTCCTGGGCAGGTCCGGTGGCTGACCCCTGTAATCTCAGCACTTTGGGAGGCCGTCGCAGGAAGATCATGAGGTCAGGAATTCTAGGACAGCCTGGCCAGCGTGATGAAACACCGTCTCCACTAAAAATACAACCTGTGCCTTTCGAGTTCAAGCGATTCTCTTACCTCAGCCTCCGGAGTAGCTGGAATTACAATCATGCACCATTACACCCAGATAATTTTGTGTTTTTAGTAGAGACCGGTTTCTCCATGTTGGTCAGGCTGGTCTGGAACTCCCGACCTCAGGCCCTGAATCAGGGTCTTTGTTAACTCTGAGTGGTGTCAGAATTCAAATGTTAGACAATAAGTTGAAGTTGGAGAATTGTTTGATGTTCAGCTAATGCTACAGATTTGGTGCCAGAAAGAAGATGTTACAGAGGCCTGACCTGGAATAAAACTCTGGTTGTCTGGGAATGGGAGGCTCTGCTCTCCTGTACATAGGCTGTCACACTGCCCATTGTCCGATTCCAGGTCTCTCTGGGTGACAGAGGTCTGAAAACTTAGAGGAAAGGAGCTCTGATGACAGACCCTCTTTTCTTGCAGCTGCCACCACAGGGTTCCCACCTACTCACAAACACACACAGTAGACAATGACGTGTCCACACTCAGGAACTTCACCACGGCGTTTTTGATCCTAGTGTTTCTTGCCAAAAACCCACATGTGTGTCTACAAGTCTCCTGGCATATCCCCTCCCCCAGGCACTGAATCTGCAGCAGCAACCTGTGTTCTCCACCAAGCTAGGGTTCTAGACCTCCTGCTTGTAATCCTGTTTACAATCTCACCTGACTGCATGCACACAGGAATAAATCAGAGTACAGCCCCACCTGGGCCACTATCTGTAGAAAAAAATCAATCCTTTCACCTACACTGTACTCTTTCCCACCCAGGGATTTTTTTTTTTTTCCTATAAGCTTTTATTATTGGTTTGGGGTACACATGTGGGTTTGTTTTACAGCTAAAATTATGTCATGGGTGTTTTGTGTGCCAATTATTTTGACACCAAGGTTCTACGCATAGCCCCAAACAGGTATGTTTTCTGATCCTATTTCTCCCACCCTGCACCCTCAACTAGGCTTCAGTGTCTCTTACTCTCCTTTTTGTGTTCATGTGTTTTTATTATGTAGCTCTTATAAATAATAATATGCATGTAGTTTTCTGTTTCGGCATTAGTTTGTTTTGTTTTGAGGTGGAGTTGTGCTCATTTTGCCCAGGCTGGAGTGCAGTGGTGCAATCTTGGCTTACTGCAACCTCTGCCTTCAGGGTTGAAGCAATGCTACTGACTCGCCCTCTTGAGGAGCTGAAACTCCTGGCTAATTTTGTATTTTTAGTAGAGATGGGATTTCTCTATATTGGTTAGGCCGGTTTCAAACTGCCAACCTCAGGGGATCTGCCCACCTCAGCCACCTAAAGAGCTGGGGTTACAGGCGTAAGCCACAGCACCCTGCACACCACACTTCACTTTTACAATTCTTGAACTAATTTAATTCTCATGAACAGAGTATAAGCATTCTTTTTTCTCTGCAAACTTGCCAGCATCTGTTACTTTTTAACTTTTTTAAAAAACAGCCATTCTGAGTAGTGTGAGGTGGTATCTCCTTGTGTGGTTGTTGTTGTTTTAAATTTCTCCACTGATGAGCGATGATCTTTTTTTTCATATGCTTGTTAGCCACATCTGTGTCTTCTGTTGAAAAGCATGTATTCATATTTTTTTGCCTCACGTCAAATTAGAAATTCTGCCCATGGCCACTTGATAAAAGTGTGTGGTGTGTCTGTGTGTGTGTGTGTGTGTGTGTGTGTGTGTGTGTGTGTGTTTCAGGGACCATTGGAATTTAGGGATGTCGCCGTAGAATTCTCTCGGGAGGAGTGGCATTGCCTGGACGCTGCACAGCGGAATCTGTATAGGGATGTGGTGTTGGAGAACTACAGAAACCTCGTCTTCCTTGGTGAGGATAACTTGAATACTTAATTCACAATAGACCCTAAATGTTTTCTTTCTCTTTTTTTGTAGAATATTTTTCAGTAATTTATTCTTTGTATAAAAGAGTTTCAGAAGCCCCTTTTCTAGAAAATCCTCAGAATTTGTTCACTTAGAAAAGAATTTCTTTAAGACGTGTCATGTTAATTCAGACTTTCCAAATTATTGAGTTGAGCTGTATTCTTCACTCTAAATTAGTGGTAATTCCAGCAATTTAGTGGCATAAAATATTGTTGCAGGGCTGGGCACAGTGGCTCACACCTGCAATCCCAACACTTTGGGAGGCCAAGGTAGGCAGATCACCTGACGTCGGGAGTGAGACCAGGCGGACCAACATAATGAAACTCTCTCTAACTACCAAAAGTACAAAATTAGTTACACATGGTGGTGCACGCCTGTAATCCCAGGTACTTCCAGGTACTCTGGAAGCTGAGGCAGAATTGCTTGAACATGGGAGGCAGAGGTTGTGGTGATCTGATATTGTGCCATTGCAATCCAGCCTGCTTATCAGCAGTGAAACTTCTCAAAAAAAAAAAAAAGACAACTATAAGTTCAAAGTATTTTCTAAGTATTTAGAAATTTCTGTTATTGATTAATATTTTGGTATTAATTTACTAGAATATTTTATCATATCCTCTCCGAGCACATTACTAGCTTGTAAGTGGAGAATATGAGTCATTTTCATGTTATTTATTTTTAATAAAACAGGTATTGTGGTTTCTAAGCCAGACCTCATCACCTGTCTGCAGCAAGGAGAAAAACCTTTGACTGTTAAGAGACATGAGATGATTGCCACACCCCCAGGTAGGTACCATTGAACATAAATACAACAGAGGACACCATTAAGAGGTCCAAAGTTCAAAGAGAAAACCAGCCCTTAAAATGTGATGTGGGAAGCTATGTGCCAAAGAAAACACTTCTGGGCAGCGAATTTTTTTTTTTTTTTTTTTTTTTTGGCTCTAGCAAAGGGACGTTTTCTGACTAGGCTTTTAAATTCTCTAAAGATTCTAGTTTGCTTTTGGTGAGCTTCCTTCAAGGTTACAGCGAGAACCAAAGTCCTCTTCATGGCGTGTAAGAGACTGCACAATCTGGCTGCTGTTTTATTGTTTTGGGGACACGCAAATGTCTGCATGATTTTTAGAAACTAAAACTATTTTTAAAGTCCTTGTTTTGTATCAGGTTGGAAATGTGTGAGAGTAGTAGTTTCTGTAGTATTTTTTTGTTCTTTGTTCTGCACAGTCTATTCTGTTTTTATTACTACATACTCTTAAAAAATAGTTTGAAATTATAAGTATGATATCCTTCTGCTTTCTACTTTTTCCTCAAGATTTCTGACTATTCAAAGTTTATTTTAGTTTCATGTAAATTTTAGAATTATGTTTTTCATTTCTATGAAAAAAAAAATCCCACTGCAATTTTCTTTTTTTTTTTTGAGACGGAGTTTCGCTCTTGTTACCCAGGCTGGAGTGCAATGGCGCGATCTCGGCTCACCGCAACCTCCGCCTCCTGGGTTCAGGCAATTCTCCTGCCTCAGCCTCCTGAGTAGCTGGGATTACAGGCATGTGCCACCATGCCCAGCTAATTTTTTGTATTTTTAGTAGAGACGGGGTTTCACCATGTTGACCAGGATGGTCTCGATCTCTCGACCTCGTGATCCACCCGCCTCGGCCTCCCAAAGTGCTGGGATTACAGGCTTGAGCCACCGCGCCTGGCCCCCACTACAATTTTCATATAAAGTTTATTGAATATATAGATCAGTTTGAATAATATGGCAATTTAATAATATGTATTCTTTCATAGTCCAGAGTGCTAACCATTACACCATGGAACCCACAATAATATATATTCTTTCAATCCATAGACATAAAGTATTTTAAAATTGATTTGGATCTTCTCTAATTTTTTCATTGATTATTGTAAAGATTTTTTACCTCCTTGGTTAATTTTTTTCTCATAAATATATTATTTAATGCTATAGTAAATAAGGTTGTTTCTTTTTCGTTGTTGTTTCTATTTTTTTCTTTCTTCCTTTATTTTATCAGATAGTTTAAGGGTATGAAACCATACATATACTTGTATGTTAATTTTATATATTGCTAATTTAATGTTTGTATTTGTTAGTTTAAACAAGTTTTAAAATTCTGTTTTTTTTTTATATAAGATTGTATGATCTAAAAACAGCAACTTTTAACTTAGTTTTCTTCAGTTTCAATAGATCTTTTTATTTCTTTGACTAATTCTTCTGCCACACATTTCCAGTGCTCCATTAAAACAGAAGCACTGACCGGGGCAGCGTAGTTTGTAGTGGTGTCTGAATTTGATGAGGTAAGCACCTCTTCAAGTTTTCATAAGCTGATTTTGGAAGACAAAAGTATCTTCTTCTGTTGGGCCCTTAGGGTGCTGAGATGCCCTCTGACTTTGTAGTAGGGAGGGGTTGTAGCTTGGTCACAAGGCTGCTGGGTCTGCACTAGGGTCCACCTTTAGTTGGCTTGTTACAGGGGCTTGGGTAGTTGTAATTCCCATTTGGTTTCTGGACAGACTGCATATCCTTCAGGACTTGGCTCTGTTGGGCAGACACTAGGGCACGTTTTGGCAGTTGGATTTGCATATGGTGGGCCTTGTATCAGGATGTAGATGAGTATGGCTTTCACTGAGTACCTCAGGTAACTGGGTTTCTATATAGGCAGAACTGATCATAAACTGTGACTCAGGTAACTGAAACTGAGTCATTGAACCACTTCAGTGACTACAGTAAAGGCCAAGGTCTGCAGGCCTGCCCTCATGGCTGTGAATCAGTGCCTTCCTCCAGGTCTCTGGAATGGCAGGACCTCTCCCAGACTGTGGCTGGGAGGAGTTTGGGATGGTTACAGCGTAAGTTCAGATTCTCATTGGGACCAAGTTGAGCAAACCCTATTCCGGTCTGTAGCCAAGAACAGGGGTGCTTTAGTTTGCCCCTTGAATGAGGGCCTGCCTTCTGAATAGAACACTTCTCAATATTAAGCTTTAACAGTGTTTCACAACTCCCTCTCTGGATCTCAAATCTCTCTTAGGCACTTACTTTGGAGATGGTGTCTTGCTACATAAAACAGGCTGGTCTGAAATCCAGGCACGAAGCAGTTCTCCAACCTTAATGTATCATGTAGCTGTTGTTACAGTTTTGAGCTGTAATGCCTGTTTCTGTCATAAAGGCATGTTGTATAAAGGATGGCTGACATTTTGTTTTTGCTGTAACGGATATGAAAATACGGCACTTAAAATTTTTTTTTTTAGCTTACTGACATCACTCTCCTTGTACATTTTTGCTCTGTATTTTCTATTTCATTTGGTGGGTTTTTTTTGTTTTTTTTTTGGGTGGAGTTTCATTCTTGTTGCCAAGGCTGGAGTGCAGTGGGTGCAGTCTTGGCTGACTGCAACCTCCACCTCCTGGGTTCAAACAATTCTCATGCCTTAGCCTCCCAAGTAGCTGGGATTGCAGGCATGTGCCACCATGCCCAGCTAATTTTTGTATTTTCAGTTGAGATGTATTTTTATCACATTGGCCAGGCTTGTCTTGAACTCGTGACCTCAGGTAATTTGCCCACCTCAGCCTCCCAAAGTGTTGGGATTACAGGTGTGAGCCTCCGCACCTGGCCTCAGCGTCGGTCTCCTAGCCTCAGTTTATTGTGTCTATTTGTTTTACTTAAGAATTCTATTTTTAGACAATTTGCAATTCTGTTTGTACACTTTAAGTCAATTTGAGGTTTAATTAAGAGATAAATTATGCAGGTCTGTCACAATCAGATTACATAAGTATGTGTGTTTATCTGTAACTATGACCTCAGTTTTGGATATGGTTTAACTTATATTCTTTCTTAGCTGATTTTTGATGGATGGTAGTTTTATCTTGCCTAAGTGAGTAGTCATGGAGATACTCATTTTCACCATGTGTGTAACTATGAATATCTCTATATATGATTTAGTGAGAGAAATGGTTTTGTGATTTGAGGGTAATTTTCCAGTCAAGCACGTTGGCTCACACCTATAATCCCAGCACTTTGGGAGGCCGAGGTGGGTGGATCACCTGAGGTCGGGAGTTTGAGACCAGATTGACCGGCATGGAGAAACCCCATGTCTACTAAAAATATGAAAATTATTTGTGTTTAGTGGCACATGGCTGTAATCCCAGCTACTTGGGAAGCTAAGACAGGAGAATTGCTTGAATATGGGAAGTGAAGGTTGCAGTCTGTGACAACATTGCACTCCAGCCTTGGCAACAAGAGTGAAACTCCATCTGCCAGAGAAAAAAAAAAAGGGGGAATTTTCAAAAAGATTTATAATTCTGGATTTTTTTTTAAGTTTTTCTTTAAAAACATTGTTTATATACACGTAACATAAAATGTACCATTTTAAATCTGTTGAAGTGTACATTTCAGGACGACGTGTGGTTGTGGCTTTCATCTGTAATCCCAGGATTTTTCAGGGACAAGACAAGAGTATTCCTGGAGCCCAAATGTTTGAGATCACCCTTGGCAACATATGGAGACTCCTCTCTATAAAAAAATGTAATAACTGCTAGGCATGGTGATGTGCCACTGTCCCAGCTACTTGGGAAATTAAGGGGAAGTCAAAATTGTGCCACTGCACTCCAGCTTCGGTGAGAGAGTGAGGCCCTGTTTCAAAAAGAAAAAAAAAAAAAACCTGTTCATTTCAGACATGTTAAGTATATTCAAATTGTTATGCAAAAGACTTCTAGAAACTTTGCATCTTGTAAAACTAAAACTCAATACCCATTAAGTAACAACTGGTCATTTTACCCTCTCTGAAGCCCTTGAGAAACAAACCTTTCACTTTCTGTTTTTATAATTTTCACTACTTAAGATACCTCATACAGGTGGAATCATACAGTATCCATAGTTTTGTTACTAGATTAATTCAAGTGACATAAGATTATCAAGGTTCATCTTAAAATGTGACAAGATTTTCCTTTTTAAGGTAGAATAATATTTCATTGCACATATATGTGACATCTTTTGAAATCTTTAAAGATCAAGAGACATGGGTTGCTTCAGCCTTTTGGCTTTTGTGAATACTGCTCATGGCCTGTGTAATATATTTTTCATGTAGGTATGTAAATGAAAAGCATTTATAACATTTTAAAATAATAGCCTCATCTATATTTTCCACCAGCAATCAACATGGATTCCATTTCTATTGTATGATGAATGGATTTGGTGTTTTTAAAAAAATTTATAGAGGCCATTCTTTTGCTTCTTTTTTTGCTTCTTTTTTTTTTTTTTCCAGACAGAGTCTCGCTCTGTCTCCCAGGCTGGAGTGCAGTGATGCAATCTTGGCTCACTGCAACATCAACATCCTGGGTTCAAGTGCTTCTCCTCCCTCAGCCTCCCAAGTAGTGGGCATTACAGGCACCCAGCACCGTGTCTGGCTAATTTTCTGTTTTTTAAGTAGAGGCGAGTTGCACCATGTTGGGCAGAATTGTCTCAATCTCCTGACCTTGTGATCTACCCACCTCGGCATCCCAAAGTGCTGCGATTAGAGGCGTGAGCCACCGCGCCTGGCTATAGTGGCAGTTCTAGTGGATTTGAGGTTATTTTGTCATTGTGTTTTTTTTTCCACTATTATTTCTCCATGAATTAGTAACTTTTGTCTGTTATCTTTTTTTTTTCTTTTTTTTTTTTTTTTGAGATGGAGTTTTTCTCTTGTTACCCAGGCTGGAGTGCAATGGCGCAATCTCGGCTCACCGCAACCTCCGCCTCCCGGGTTCAGGCAATTCTCCTGCCTCAGCCTCCTAAGTAGCTGGGATTACA